TTCATCTGCACACTAGCGTCGCGTAGTGAGAGAGTTCTTAAATAATATGACCACCATCCGAAAGAACTTGGTCACCTGAACAACTTTGCTGAAGACAGCAACGTTCTATATGGCCTGGTTCTCGAGATACAGTTTATATAGGAAGTTCACATGCACACTAGCGCTGCGTAGTGAGAGAGTTCTGAACTAATCTACCCACCATCCGAAAGGACTTGGTCACTTGAACAACTTTGCTCAAGATAGTAGCCTTTTTTTAGTTTAAATGATCTTTATTTTTGTTTAACTTGGACGATTACCATATAAATTTTTTACTAAGTGATTTAATGATTTCTTCATCTTTAGGTATGGGCAAAATTCAAAATTTGTTTTACAGAATTAGTCCTAGACTTAGTACACGGTCGACCACCTTGGTGGGATTGGTTTGTTTTGTTTTTAGAATTTGAAGAGAAACTACTTAATACTACTATTTACAGCTTAAAACTAACCTACTCTACTATATACACTTAACCTACTATGTACAAATTGCTTATTAAAGCATGTTCAGAAAGATTGCATTTTTGGATAAATTTGGTTGTCATATCCTCAATTTTGGAATCTACTTTGGGAATTTCTGCCTCTTGATGGAGGTCTGCTATTCTTGTGTCGAATGGACGATCTAGGATCATCCTCAACACTCTATTCTGTGCAACCTGGATTTTGTTCCTGTGGGTCTGAGCGCACGATTCCCACACCGGGGCGGCATAGAAGATCGCGGGGGCTATGATCTGTTTGTAAACAGCCAGTTTGTTTTGCCTTGAGAGGCGGGATCTGCGGCAAATGAGCGGATACAAACACCTAACCAAGGCGGAGCACTTAACTAGGGTTTTCTCTATGTGCGAGCGGAACAGGAGCTTCTCATCGAACAACATCCCGAGATAAGTAACATCAGTGGACCACTCGACCCTTGTACCATCCATTATTACGGTACAGGAGGGAGACGGTTTAAGTTTTAATGATTGTCTGTGAAGGAACATGATCGCTTGGGTTTTCGAGGCGTTGATTTTGATTTTCCACGTGGTGGCATAATCAGTAAAGGTGTCAAGGCGTTGGAGCTTGTTCGTAATTTCACGAGGCATCCTACCCTTGACAGCTATCGCGGTGTCATCTGCAAACAGAAAGAACACGCAACCGTCTCCTAGAGGAGGGATGTCCGACGTGTAGATGCTGTAAAGCAGTGGTCCCAGCAGACTCCCTTGCGGAACACCTGCTGGGATCGGAAATTGTCCCGAAAGGGAACTATTCAACGACACCCTGAACGACCTTTGCTGGAGATAGTTACGGGTGATTTTCACAAGGTATGGTGGAAAGTTAGAGTTACAAAGCTTGTATATAAGTCCGTCGTGCCAGACATTGTCAAACGCCTTTTCGACGTCTAACAAGGCCATGGCTGTGGACTTGGATACAGCTTTGTTACTTCGGATGTTATTCATCACCCGCACTAGCTGATGATTGGTGGAATGCCCCTTGCGGAACCCGAACTGTTCCGGAAGAAGAATGTCATGTTCCTCCACAAACTTGTTTAGTCGGCTGAGGATCAATTTTTCGAACAGCTTGCTCAGCGCTGAGAGCAGGCTAATCGGTCTGTAGCTTGACGGTAGTGAAGGGTCTTTCCCAGGTTTGCGGATCGGGATGATTTTTGCCACCTTCCAGATGCTTGGAAAGTAGTGCAGCTCCAAGCATCTGTTGAAGGTGGCAGCTAGCAGCGAGTACACCCTCGGGCTGAGATTTTTCAACGCTAGGTTGAATATTCCGTCAAACCCGGGAGCCTTCATGTTCTTACTGTATTTCAGCGCTGAGCAAATTTGTTCCTCTGTAATCCGTTCTTCTGGAGGGACGGCACAAGGGGAGGCATCTAACGTCAGGACGCACTGCGCAACCTGGTTCTCGAGTGGACTTGGGATTTTAGAGCCAAGCAAATGCGACTGGGCAATGTGCTCCCCAATCGCATTGGCCTTCTCTTCGTTGGTGATAAGCCGTTCGTCATTGACTCTAAGTAGTGGAATGGGCTTGGGGTGAGACTTCAGCACCTTGGCAACCTTCCAGAATGGTCTGGAACGGTCGTCCAGGTTCTGAACGAGCCGCCCGAAACTCTCGTTCCGGATTGAGACCATTCTGGAAGCGATCTGCCGATTCAGATCGACCATTTCGTATTTACGCTGCAGATCCCCAGTCCGCTGAAACTGGCGTCTACGAACATTTCTGAGCCGAATCAAGAGTTTGGTGTGGGAATCAATTGCTTGAAACTTACCCCTCACAGGAACTCGTCGAACGCACTCTTCGTCAGCCACGGATATGGCTTGATGGAGACCCTCCAAGGCCCGGTCGATGTCATCCACTGTGTCGAGCGGTGGGTTGTCGTCGATGTGGCGGTCGACCACGCGTCGAAACTGAACCCAGTTGACTCGATGGTAGTCCTTCCGCTGGCACGGTGCAGGGGCCACGTTGTAGCCCAGCTCGGTCAGCACCGGTTGGTGGTCCGAACTCAGGTCGTTGACGGCAACCGGCTTGGCTAATCTGGTGTAGATAGTAGCCTTCTATATGGCCAGCATTTTAAGATACAGCTTATATAGGAAGCTCATGTGCACAGTAGCGCTGCGTAGTGAGAGAGTTCTGAACTAATATGGCGACCATCCGAAAGGACTTGGTCACTTGAACAACTTTGCTCAAGACAGTAACTTTCTATATGCCAGGATCACGAAATATTCTATGTTGGACCTAAGATCCATAATTATAACGCCCGTCATAGGTAACACAAAAGTGAAGCGCCTCTAGCGGCGTAGTTACCAATTAAACCTGGCTTGTTGGTCTATCCCAGTACAGCAACTTTGTCCAAGACAGTATAGCTTTATATATTGAAACAAATGAGATAATCCACCTATTAGTGAAAATCCCATAAGCTGTGGGAATCCTTATTCGCGGATAGCCCGGCAATAAGGATCCGGCAATAAGGGATACCGGCAATAAGGAATCCGGTAATAAGGATTCCTGACTGTATACATGTAGCCCCTTAATAAAGCGCTTTTCCGGAGATAGCGACCATAGTTCATCCCCGTTTTTGGCAAGACGGTAACCTCGCTGAACCTCAACATTTGCTTTTACAGCGGAAATATGAAGCTTTTCGAAGGCCACTAGATCCAAGTTCATTTGGCTGATTTAGTAATAAAACCTAAACATTGGATAGTGATGATTGATCTACAATTTTTATTGAATCGTTGAATTAAAAAAAAATGTGTTCCTGGAAAAATAATATGATTATTGCAGAAAAAATATTCAAGATTCTGAGACTTCAAGTTTTCCAGATTCCAAGACATGGATGTAATGTCAACCTAAATGTCTTTAATTTGGGGCCATACATAAATTCTGCAATCAACTGATTTTTTTATAGCGACCAAAAATATCCAGAAGTACCGTCCCAATGACGCGTTCATCTAGATACAATTGATAAATTGCAGATTTTTAGCGATGGGCTAAATCTTAGATCCATAAGCCAACATTATAGCCATTTCCCCAACGTACAGGGTGCGTGACGAATTTTTGCAGTAAATTTCAAATAGTAATTTCTCATGCTTGTGCATCATGATTTAGATATATTTGGCAGCACTGGATAGCTTATACTGTTAGGTGTAAGATTTAAACAAACAATGTTGAGTAAACGTAAAGATGTCGAAACAAGAGAGCAATCTGTCAGCCGTTGTCACTTTGTTGCGCGCCGGAGTATGCATGAAAGAAATAATTCGGTCGGTAAATGTGTCTGAAAGAACAGTGTATAATATTAAAAAAGGCTTGGGAAAGTGATAAGACGGAGCACCTGCTCATACTGGCTTACGGAAAATATTTCGTAAATTTGGCCCCCAAGCAGTCCCGATATCAATCCGTTGGATTATTTTGTATAGGGCGTCGTCCAACGGCATACCAATAGAACCCCTCACACCACACTTAAGTCGCTAAAAGCTAAAATCAAGGCAGTGATGACATCTATGGATCGAAACATTTTAAAACGTGCATACTGCAGTTTCCGGAAGCGTCTAACTACAGTCGTCGAAAGGGAAGGCAATTTTTTTGAATAAATTTACTTACAACTTCCATATGTTGCGAAAGAAAATAAATCGCACAAAATTCATTGCTAGAATAACTAACTGGTGTATTTTTTCTCAAATATGCCATTTACTGCAAAAATTCGTCACGCACCCTGTAGTGTTGGATTTCATAAAGAGTCACAAATTGCTGAGATATCGTTTAACATCTAATACTGCTTCTTGATTCTTAATTCGTCCTAAGAGTTTCAATTCCGTCCTAACGCATTGAAACGCTATTAGATTTTCTTCGTCCTACGGATAAACGGAGGAAAAGGGGATTCGCTAGGAACGCTTCTTTTGTTTTGAGAACAATGAGCGTAAATATTCATACAATGCGCTCTAATAGGATTTATGTTGCAGCTAATGAACTAATTCGGAACAAACCTATTATTGATTTGGGCACGGTTAAATCATTGATATTATTGATCTTTTCTGATCGATAGAACGGAAATGGGTGATTACGATGAAGTAGCGTTCTACCCTATGTTCTTAGAATTGATTTTTTGTTTAAGAGTTTGAAACTGAGCAGATCCAGACCAAATGACGAAAAAATAAACATTTTTTTTTATTTTGCCTCTCAGAATTCCATGAAATTTCGCATAATTGTTCGCTAGGGGAAATGAGCCAATTTTTTTTCAAGAATTCAGCCATTTTGACTCAGGTCAAATTTTTCATAATGCTCATAATGCTTAGTTAGTACCCTTATATTACTGAAGAGGCTGCTGCCATCAAACAGATCGATGCCGTTAGGTGAATCTATAAAGTGATAACAGAATCAGTCATCAAAATCACACACACACTATTCCGTTAGCGTCTTCCTGAGAACTGAGGTTGTACTTAGTAATCTCCATAGTTTTAATGAAACGCGTTCACGGAATCGATTTTGTTTTGATCCCGCTGAGCATCCCCAAGCTCCTTGCATTCCTAATAATCAGAATGATTGAACGAAAACAAAATCAATTCCATAAACAGTTTAATCTTACGATTGATTGGCTATATAAAGTTCGCCGCTAGGAAGACCACTCAGTGCAGTATACTTTCAGTTATCATTTAGACACCAGCGAGCGGAATGCATCGATCAACGTAAGTGATTGTGTCGTAAACCAATAAACAGTGCCTCTGATCATAGCTTCATTTTCCTGAACAGCATCTTCCTTTGCCTGTTGGCAGCGGCAGCAACCTACGGCTACCGCTGGGAGTGCGAGGACATGGCTGGCGAAGAGTCTCCGGAAGAATACGAAGGTTGGTGTGTGGTGACAAACCTAACCGATATCGATCTATTGAAAACAAGCCCGCAGATCGAATATGAGTCAACTTCCAAATTGCTGCTAAATAACTATCAGTCCTCCTCCGTGGCACCATGGATGCAGGGCTACTTCTCCGGAGTGGATCATCTCGGCTTCGCATACGGGAACATCCATTCCTTATACGTCATTCCATCGTTGAGAAACCTTTCAGTTTGGGTATCGAACGTGACGGAAATGACGCTGGATCCAACTGAAGACTATCAACTGGAGGCGATCATCGTATTCGAAACAATTGTTCCTCTTCCTAATGACATGAGCACACTTAAACGTCTAAAGTCTGTAGAAGTTAGAGAAACAATCTACCCCACGCTCAATTTGTCCAGTTTCGATGGTTTGGTCAACCTCAATTCGGTATCGTTTAGAGCAAGTAGAACATCGACGGTTGTGATCCATTCGAACATCGATCTACCGAATTTAACCAAATTGAAGTTGACCTTTAACGACCTACAGAGCATTCCAGAAAACATCAACCGACTGGTAGCACTGGAAGAACTCGATCTCTACTGGAACGATGTCACCCACCTGAATATGGACGCCTTCAATGGACTGAAGAACCTTCTACAAATCAACCTGGACATGAATCCTCTGAAAACGATAAGCACAGCCGAATCCGTCAGTCTCCCGAGGCTTCAGTATCTAACATTTTTCAACGGAAAACTTGAGGAGATGGATGTCCGGCACTGGAGGATGCCGGAGTTGAAAAAGCTGGATGTTTCGAACAACAAGCTCATAGAAATTAGAAATGTCAAGGGGTATCTTCCCAGGGGCATGACGCTGGTTGGAACAACAAATTCATGGAGCTGTCAATTTGTGGAAAGTACACGGGAACACATTGTGATTGAACAATCGTCGAAGGAATGTGGCGTGCGAAGGGGTGGAATTTGCTGCACTGAATACGATAGCGAGAATGAGGATACTCATTAGTTAGGGTAGATTCAAGTCTGATGAATGATCAGGAATGTAATTTAATAATAATTATATTGTGAAATATGTATAATCTTAATGCTTATGAATTGTTTTACTTTTCATTTAACAATAAACGATTACCGAAAGCAAACACTCAGTGGAACTTTGGTAGTGAGTCGTGCCTTTGCCTGTGTAGAAGTCATTTCGTAGAGTTATGCTTAATAACATTTTGCACAGAAATCGAATCGATTAGCCGTCTTTCACACAGTAGATCTGCAAAGTTTACCCAATCTAAGTCACAGGTATGGGCAACACTGAGCAATGCATGAATTTTTGATGTGCAAATTAATATTTCTATTGCGTTTCTATACCTCTTCCAACCTACTAGGTTGAAATTTTCCCGAAAATCCAATTCGATCAAATTTGGCACAGTTGTTAGACCCTCAATACATAAAAAAAATTAAAGAGCATTGGGGAACAAGGGGTTGTGATCCTCCATACAAACTTGACCCACCATCAGTGTAAATAGGAAATTGCTACCAACCTGGTTCATTTAATTTAAGTTCCAGAGGAGTTCCTCAAAGTTCAAGAGAAACTTCAATAAAGCTTCAGGGGAACTTCAGGACAGTTTAAGGTATATTTCAGTGAAGTTTTAGGGGTACTTCAGGGAAGATAAATTTAAAGAAGTTTCGACAAACGACCGTGAAATTCCACACCAAACGGAAATTCTGTATTTTAGACAAGTGTTTCACTTATACATTTTTTGACAAAACATCAGCCTTATACATTTCATAAGACAAACCACATCGGTCCTATAAATGCATAAACGGTATGTTTGACCATTTGTACATTTCATTAGATACATGAGCTTGATTACCATTTTTGCAAGGCGTCGGCTTATTAGTTGATTTATATACTTAATTTACGAAAATATATAAGAGGATTTCTATCCGTAATTTACTTCTCTGAAATTCAATGAACTTCTAGGAAGTTCCGTGAACTTCACAGGTGTTCCAAAAGTTCCTCTGAAAATCCGTAATCTTTAAGGATATTTCATAAGCTGCGGAAATTTCTATTTATTTTCCAAAACATCTATACGGTTTTCTTGAATCCTATAAGGCCCTGATAATTTTATTGTTGAGATGGGCACCACCGAGCAGCTAGGCATTTCATTTTGCTGGATCCCAGTGAAAAACTTGCCGAGATTCAAATGGGAAATTTCATTTGCTTATCGAAGAATCCTCGGAATTAACTTGAGCTTTTCTGAACCTTTCCTCGAAAGTTATCTAAACTTCTAGTTGGAATATCTCTGAACTACTCGTGGGAAGTGCTATGAACCTCTCCATGGAAGTTCTATGAATTTTCGCGAGAAGTTCTCTGAATCTCTCCTCGGAAGTTCACTGGTTCAGGTTCAGAGAAATTCAAACGAGTAGTTCAAAAAACACCCAACGAGAAATTCAGAACATTTCCGAAGGATTTCTGAATTTCTCACGAAAGTTCTTTGACCTTCTCGTTGGAATTTCAAGGAACATCTCGTTTAAAGTTCTCGGTATTTTTCATCGGATTTTTTCTTAATCTTTTGTCTGAAGTTCAGAGTTCAGAGAACTACCAACGAAGAAGTTCGATGAGCTTTCGAGTAGAGTTTTAGAGAACTTCTGAGAAGAAGTTCAGAGAACTTTTGTTGAGAAATTCTGAGAACTTCCAAGAGGAGGTTCAGAAATATTCCAACGAAAATTTCAAATAATTTCTGACGGGAAGTTCAGAGCACTTTCGAGGAGAAGTTCAATGATATTCCATCTAGATTCTCTTTGAAAGTTTTCTGAACTTTCTCTCGGAACTTTCCTTCGGAAGTTCTCTGAACTTCTCCTGGGAAGATTTCTGAACCTTTGCTAGGAAATTCTTTTACTTACAAAGTCCTTTGAATTCTCTTCGGAAGTTCTTAGAATTTTTGAAAGTCTCCCTAATAAAGATAAATTAATTAATTAATTCTTAGAATTTTTCTTCTCCTTGGGAGTTCTCTGAGCTTCTCGAAATTTCTCATCGAAAGTTCTCTGAGCCACTGCTCGAATGTTCTCTAAACTTCTCGTTGGAAGTTCTCTTAATTTTTCATCTGAAACTAGATGAGCTACTAGTGGGATTTCTATGAACATCTTGTCGAAAGTTCTCTGAACCTCTCTTTGATTTTTTTAACTTCATGTTGAAAAGTTTTCTAAATTTATTTTCGGTAGTTCTTAGAATTTCTCGTATGAAGCTCTCGAAACTTCCCCTCGAAAGTTCTCTGAACTTCTCCTCGGAAGTTTTCTAAACTTTTCTTAGAAATGTCCCTGAACCTCTCATCGGAAGTTTTCTGAATTTCTCGAAGGTTATTCTTTGAACTTCTCCTCGTAAGTACTACAAACTTCTCCTCCAAAGTTTTCTGAAAATCTCATCAGAAGTTCTCTAAACATCTCGTCGGAAAATCATTGAACCTCTCGTCGGGAGTTCTCTTACCTTCTCCTCGGACATCCTTTGAATCCTCTTCAGAAGTTCTTTCAATTATCTTTGGAAGTTTTTTGAATTTCGCGTCAGAAGCTCTCAGAACTACTCCTTGGAAGTTCTCAAAATTTCTTCTACGAAGTTCTCTGAGCTTCTCCTCGAAATTTCCTGGAATTTCTCATCGGAAGTTCTCTGAATCACTGCTCTCAAATGACCTCTAAACATATCGTTGGAAGTTCTCTGAATTTGTCGTCCGAAACTATCTGAACTACTCGTGGGATTTCTATGAACATCTCATCGGAAATTCTTTTAACTTCTGGTTGGAAGTTTTCCGAATATCTTTTCGGGTGTTCATAGACTTTCTAGTTGGAAGCTCTCTGAACTTCCCCCGAAAGTTCCCTGAACTTTCCTCGAAAGTTCACTGAACTTCTCCTCGGAAGTTCTCGAAACCTCTACTCGGAAGTTTTCTGAATTTATCGACGGATATTCTTTGAGCATCTGCTTGGAAGTACTCTAAACTTCTCGTCCAAAGTTCTCTGAACATCTCATCAGAAGTTCTCTAAACATCTCGTCGGAAGATCAACGAACTTTTCGTCGGGAGTTCTCTTATCTTCTCCTCGGAAGATCTCTCAACTTCTCGTCGGAAGTTCGCTGAACATTTCCTTGGAAATTGTTGGAACTTTTTGTCAGAAGTTCTCTGAATTTATCTTGGGTAGTTCTTTAAATTTCTCCGCATAAGCTCTCAGAACTTCTCCTTGGAAGTTCTCTTAACTTCTCCTCGAAATTTCTCTTCCGATGTTCTCTGAATTTGTCGGCGAAATCATCTAAACTACTCGCGGGATTTCTCTGTACTTCTCGTCGGAAGTTCTCTGAACTTCTCCTTGGAAATGCTTTGAACTTCTAATCGAAAGTTTTCTGAATTTCTTTTCGGTAGTTCTTAGAATTTATCATTGAAAGCTCTTTGAACTTCCCCTCGAATGTTTTCTGAACTTCTCCTCTGAAGTTCTCTTAACTTCTCGTTGGAAGATCTCTGATCTTATCGTTGGAAGTTCTCTGAACCTTTCCTTTGAAATTCTTTGAACGTTTCGTTAGAAGTTCTCTGAATTTCTCATTGGAATCTCCTAGAATTTCTCATCGAAAGCTCTCAGAACTTCTCCTTGGAAGTTCTTTAAATTTCTCCGCAAAAGTTCTATGAGCTTCTCGTTGGAAGATCTCTGAACTTATCGTTGAAAATTCTCTGAACCAATCCTCTTAAATTATTTGAACTTTTCATCAGAAGTTCTCTGAATTTCTCTTTGAAATATCTTAGAATTTCTCATCAGAAGCTTTCAGAACTTCTCCTTGGAAGTTCTCTAAACTTCTCCGCAGAAGTCCTCTGAGCTCCTCTTCGAAATTTCTCGGAACTTCTCTTCGCAAGTTCTCTGAATTTGTCGTCGAAAATAATCTCGAAAATAAATTTCCAAGGAAAAGTTCAGAGAGCTCCCGCGAGTATTTCCTGTGACCTGAACCTCTCTTCGGAAGTTTTTGAATTTATCTTCGAAATTGTTTGCCAAAAGTTCTCTGAACTTTTCCTCGGAATGTTCTCTGAATGTCTCATCAGAAATTCTTTAACCCTATCCTCACAAGTGCTTTGAAGGTCGAAAATTCTCAAAAGTTCAAGTTGGCAATTCTCAAGATTTCTCATTGGACGATTTCTGAACTCTCTGAAGTTCTTCCACACTGAACTTCTAGTCGGAAGTTCTATGAATTTATAATGGGATATTCTTTGAACTTCTCTTCAGAATTTCTCTGAACGTCAAGAAACTTCTGAGAAGTTCACGGAACTTCCAACATATTCCGACAAAATGTTCATAGAATTCCATGGAGAAGTTTAGAGAAATTCAGAATAGATGTTCAGAAAACTTCTCTGAGATTCTTTTCGGAAATTCTTAGAATTTCTCGCCAGAAGATCTCAGAACTTCTCCATGGAAGTTCTCTTAACTTCTCCTTGGAAGTTCTCTTAACTTCTCCGCGGAAGTTCTCTAAACTTCTCCGCGGAAGTTCTTTGAGCTTCTCCTCGGAACTTCTCTTCGGAATTTCTCTTCGGAAGTTCTCTTCGGAATTTCTCTTCGGAAGTTCCCTTCGGAAGTCCTCTTCGGAAGTTCTCTTCGTAAGTTCTCTTCGGAAGTTGCTTTTCGGAAGTTCTCTTCGGAAGTTCTCTTCGGAAGTTCTCTTCGGAAGTTCTCTTCGGAAGTTCTCCACGGAAGTTCTTTGAACTTCTCCTCGGAATTTCTCTTCGGAAGTTCTCTTCGGAATTTCTCTTCGGAAGTTCTCTTCGGAAGTTCTCTTAGGAATTTCTCTTCGGAAGTTCTCTTTCGAAGTTCTCTTCGGAAGTTCTCTTCGGAAGTTCTCTTCAGAAGTTCTCTTCAGAAGTTCTCTTCAGAAGTTCTCTTCAGAAGTTCTCTTCAGAAGTTCTCTTCGAAAGTTCTCTTCGAAAGTTCTCTTCGGAAGTTCTCTTCGGAAGTTCCCTTCGGAAGTTCTCTTCAGAAGTTCTCTTCGGAAGTTCTCTTCGGAAGTTCTCTTCTGAATTTCTCTTCGGATGTTCTCTTCGGAAGTTCTCTTCGGAAGTTCTCTTCGGAAGTTCTCTTCGGATGTTCTCTTCGAAAGTTCTCTTCGGGAGTACTCTTCGGAAGTTCTCTTTGGAAGTTCTCTTCAGAAGTTCTCTTCAGAAGTTCTCTTCAGAAGTTCTCTTCAGAAGTTCTCTTCAGAAGTTCTCTTCGAAAGTTCTCTTCGAAAGTTCTCTTCGGAAGTTCTCTTCGGAAGTTCTCTTCGGAAGTTCTCTTCGGAAGTTCTCTTCGGAAGTTCTCTTCGGAAGTTCTCTTCTGAAGTTCTCTTCGGAAGTTCTCTTCGGAAGTTCTCTTCGGAAGTTCTCTTCGGATGTTCTCTTCGAAAGTTCTCTTCGGAAGTTCTCTTTGGAAGTTCTCTTGTGAAGTTCTCTTCGGAAGTTCTCTTCGGATTTTCTCTTCGGATGTTCTCTTCAGAAGTTCTCTTCGGAAGTTCCCTTCGGAAGTTCTCTTCGGAAGTTCTCTTTGAAGTTCTCTTCGGAAGTTCTCTTTGGAATTTCTCTTCGGAAGTTCTCTTCGGAAGTTCTCTTCGGAAGTTCTCTTCGGAAGTTCTCTTCGGAAGTTCTCTTCGGAAGTTCTCTTCGGAAGTTCTCTTCGGAAGTTCTCTTCGGAAGTTCTCTTCGGAAGTTCTCTTCGGAAGCTCTCTTCGGATTTTCTCTTCGGAAGTTCTCTTCGGAAGTTCTATTCAGAAGTTCTCTTCTGAAGTTCTCTTCGGAAGTCCTCTTTGGAAGTCCTCTTCGGAAATTCTCTTCGGAAGTTCTCTTCGGAAGTTCTCATCGGAAGTTCTCTTCGGATGTTCTCTTCGATAGTTTTCTTCGGAAGTTCTCTTCGGAAGTTCAATTCGGAAGTTCTCTTCGGAAGTTCTCTTCGGAAGTTCTCTTCGGAAGTTCTCTAAATTTGTCGTCGGAAATTATCTGAACTACTCACGGGAGTTTTCTGAACTTCCCGTTGGAAGTTCTCTGAACATCTTCTCGGAAATTCTGTGAACGTCTAGTTGGAAGTTTTCTGATTTTAGTTTTACTCTAAACTTCTCGTCAGAAGATCTCTGAACATCTCGTCAAAAGTTCTCTGCACATCTCGCCGGAAGTTCTTTGATTTTCTCCTCGTAAATTCTTTGAACTTCTCTTCAGAAATTCCCTGAATTTCTTGTCGGAAGTTATTTGAACTTCTCGCCGGAAGTTCTTTTAACTTCTCGTCAGAAATTCTCTGAACTTCTCGTTGGATATTCACTGAACCTCTCGTTGGAAGCTGCATTTTTCTATGGAAATTATCTGAACCTCTCCCCGGAAATTACTTGACTTTATCTTCGGAATCGTTGACAAAAGTTCTCTCAACTTCTTCTTGGAAGATCTCTGAACTTCTCGTCAATAGTTCTTTGAACCTCCCATTGGAAATTCTTTGAACTTTTGGTCAGAAGTTCTCTGAATTTCTCTTCGGAAGTTCTTAGAATTTCCCGCCAGAATTTCTCTAAACTTATCTTCAGAGGTTCTCTGAAATTTTGCTCGGAAGTTCTCTGAACTTCTGCTCGGAAGTTCTGTGAACTTTTTGCCGGAAGTTCTCTGAACATCTCGTCGGAAATTCTCTGAACTTCTCTGAATACTTCTCGTTGGGCGTTCTAAGAACTTCTCATCGAAAGTTTTTTGAATTTCATTCCGAAAGTTCTCAGAACTTCTTCTCGGAATTTCTCTGAACTTCTCCTCGGAAGCTCCCTGACTTTCCTGTCGGAAGCTCTCTGAACTTGTCCTTGGAAATTCCTTGAGGTTCTCGTCAGAAGTTCTCTGCACTTCTCCACTTTCGAGAATTTCACGGAACTTCTGACAAATTCACTGATTTTCCGAAAAGTTCTCGGAAGTTCCGAACTTTCGAGAATTTCAAGGGACTTCACGAAGTTCATGAAGTTCACGAGCTTCCAGGAAGTGCATGGAAATTTTGAGAAATTTTAATCTAGATAACCTTAAAATACGTTTGGATAGATTCTGATAAGTTGGAAAGGAACTTGTGGGCAGTTCCAAAGCAACTTCTTTGAAGTTACTCGTGAAATGTTAAGAAGTTTTCAGCAGTTTTCTCAGAAAATGATGCAATTTTTCAGCAGTTCACTCGGAACATCCTTGAAGCTCCGTCGAAACTTCGCTGAAGTTTCCTCGGAACACCTTTGAATTCCTCTCGGATGTTTGTAAACTTTTTGAAAGCTGTCAGAGAACATACTTCCGGAACTTATCTTTAGTCCTCCCGGAGCATTCCTACCTTTTCTTTGGAACTTTCGTGAAGTTCATCTAGAACTGCTAAAAAGTCCACCCACAATTTCCCTCTGAACTTCTCTCAAAACTTTGTTGATATTGATCACCTCCATTTGGATCACCTCCATTTGGATCACCTCCATTTGATTAACATGCTAGTCTGACTGATCCATAATTGTTTCTAGCTGATTATCCATAATTGTAGGGCAGTGTACCTAAACTTCCCTCTGAAGCAAACTTAAGTCCTCTCGGAACTTTATTCATGAAATACGTTTTCAATGTTCTAGCTTCATCGAAATTATTAACTTCTTATTTATAATCTCAAAACCGTAGCACTAACCATATCTTAAAAACAACACCAACAACAACAACTAACTCAGAGCTAACGGAATACCACTTAAAGGACCTCCATACATTGCGTTGATCCCCTTAAACCCCTTCCACCTACAAAGAACACAAATCTCTAACCCCCCATCTCCTTCCATCCACTTCCAGCTACGACGACATTCCGGACCTGCCGAAGAGCCACCCACCGGCGGTACCTCGCAAAGTCTTCCGTCAGGATCTGGTCCTGAAGTCACTGGACCAGAATCAACCGGATCAGACCACCTTCAAGAAACCTCCGATCTTCCCATCCCCGGCACGCAGCAACTCGCTGATTCCGTCGGAGATCTTCAGCGCCACGCTTCCCCTGCCGAAGGACGAATCCCGCCGCCGGTCGTTTGACATCCACGAAATCAACAAACCTCCCTCGCGAATCACCCTCGTCGGATCGAACTGGCGCAAGGATGAAAAGTCGGAACGAAGCGTTCGCGACAAGATTGCCATGTTTTCGAATGGTTCCGGAGCCGGTGCCAGTGGAGCTGGATCGGAAAACGAAGGCTCGCCTGCACTGAGAAAGTTCTCCAAGGATTTCACCAAGAGTTCGGAGAATTTACTCGGTGGAGGTGAGAGTGGTTTCACTAGGAAAGCTGTGGATCCAATAGAGGCGTACGCTACGCTGAGGAAAAAGGCACATAGCGTGGAAAATCTGGACGAAGTGGATAGCGTTCCGAGTGCATCGGACTTCAGGACCGTGGAGAATGGATCTTACAAGACCAAGTATGGGCTGGAGACGTCGAAACCGGTGGTCTTGGGCAAAGCGTATAGCGTGGAGAACTTGAACCCATCGAACGGGACGATGACATCGAACGGAGAAGGCAAGCTGGACAATGGAGGAATGTTTGGCAATGCCAAAGTCCTTTCGAGGACAACTAGCTTTTCCGGATACTCGAACGGCAATAGTCTCGCAACGATCAGCAACAATGTTGAAGAGAGGAGGAAGTCATCCATCACAAACCTGCTCGAACAGCGGAAGAAGTCCATGTCCAAACTGCGTGGACTGGTCATTCCGGAAAAGGTACCGGAAACGGAAGTCTTGCCCGATTTCAAGATCATCGGTCTGCCGATCATCAAGAGCAAAGACTCGGAGAAAATCCTCTCCTCGAACGTACTTAATAAGATGCCGGATAATTTGTACAACCGCAAAACGGCTACGCTGCCGATGCCTGCCAAATCCAATGGAAGCTCATTCCAACCGATGGTTGCTCCGAAACCGACCACTCCGGAACTCGGCGGTACATATAAGAGTATTTTCCGCAACCTTAACGGTGCATCACCCAAGTCCGATCCGAAGCCGGAACTGGACGAGCAAGGCTTCCGCCGACCACTGGCTCCCGTTCCACCTGCAAAACCCCCTCGAACATCCCTCGTGTATCCACCGCCGAAGGGTCTGGATCAACGCAGTCTAACCACAGAAGACGAAAGCGACGACAGCGATTCGGTTATGAGCTCTCGCATATCTTCGCCTCCGGTTTCACCGGTTGCTCCATCCCCTCCGGAGAAGTACGTTCTTACGCGAACGCTCAGTTCGGAGACCAACACCTCGATTGCTAGTTCGAACTCGACGTTGACATCAAGTTCCGGTTCGCAGGCGAGCTGCAGCTCAGTAGGAAGTACCCCGGCGATTGATATGAGCCGTCGCATTTCCAAATCTTCATCGAATGAGATGACCATGAATAGGAAGAATGTACTGGCTTCGGCTAAGAGTCGTAGCGGACGTGGTGATGTTAAGATTGAAGATGCCGCCAATGGAAAGACTAAACGATACGAGGATGGAGACAGTACGGATGGTTACGAGGAAGAAGAAAGGAGGAAATCCAAGTCGAAACCAAGAGGATCAACCGGAAACAGTGGCAAGTCGAATGGATTTGAGGAAAAGGAACTGACCCACTACAAGGTGGTTGATACGGTAGACAGTATTGTAGATAAGGTAATCAAGGTTGCTTCCTACGTTGAGGTGGTTTCGGATGTAGAAGAGAACGCTAGCGTTGAAACGGAAGTGGTCATTCCTATGCAGAAACCGGTCGAGGCCGTGAAGGAAAAGATCAGTTTCGCGGCTGCCAAGAGCATTTCGGTAGACAGTGGATCGACGAATACGATGTCCGATCTGGCCAAGTGGGTTCGTCATGAAGCGGCCAAGACGATCGTCGCCAAGGAACCGGAGGCTCCAAAGAGACCGGATGTGAAAAAGTTCGCTCGATCGTTCTCGGAGCAAATTTCAAAAACGGCAGAGGAGATTCAGGCCCCAACCAAGCGTGAACTGCGATCATCGGTGGATACGAAAAAGCTGAATCTGGCAGAGATTCGAAAGTCGTTTGAGGCAAAGTCCAACAACAGCACGGTCGTTCCAGCACCCATGAAGACCGTGGCAAAGGAAAGTCCTGCACCGGTAGCCAAATCGACGCCTGCCACCACCACAGTCAACAACAACCACGATCGTTTCTCATCGTGGGATTCCCTGGCTTCATCGTCGTCGGGAGTGTCGTCACTGCAGACGAACAGCATGCTCGGTAACAACGTGGCAAACTGTTCCGGATCTTCGCAAACTCTGCAGAGCACACCCTCAGATTACGGTAGCTTCTCGTCGCTGGGAAGCAGCCATAGTCTGATCACACCCCAGGACCTGCAGCTGATCATCGAAGAGGCCGATCCTCCGCTGGCCACACCGGAAGCATTCGTGATCGTGCTACAGAGGGAGACTCCGGAATCCAGCATTGGGATCACCCTGGCCGGTGGGTCGGATTACGAGGCCAAGGAGATTACGGTGAGTTGAATAACTTTTTGATGGGATTTTGAATTTTTGTTAATGGAAATTATTGCTTGTAGATTCACAAAATCCTGAACAACTCCCCGGCGGAGAAGGACGGTAGACTGCGACGAGGTGACCGCATTCTCTCCATCAACGGACTGAGCATGCGTGGGCTGACTCATCGGGAGTCGCTCAGTGTACTTAAGGTATGTTTTTTCGTGTGATTTTCAAAAAGAGGATCGATCTTATGAGAATTTCCCATTTGCAGACACCTCGCCCGGAAGTGGTCATGGTGATAACCCGCTCCAAATCGTTGGTCATCGACAACAACACCCTGTCGAAGACGAAGAGGCCATCGTTGGGTTCGCTCAGCTCGCTGGCTGAGAAGAACGAAATTCCCGACTACGAACGCAAGATCAAGATCCAACACAAGGCGTCGCGATCGCTCGACTTGGATCTGGATATCGTTTCCAATGAAGGTAGGTCGCATGATTTTTTTTTTCTTTGAGTGGGATGATGCTGAAACTAACAATGGCATTTGTTTTACAGCTGAAAGTGTCTTCGATGGAACCGCCTCCGAAGATGGTCTGCTCTCAGCCGATGAGTCCAAATGTTCCTCGATCACTCCTGCTAGTGGTAAGTTAAGGCAACGCAGTCTAATTGGAGGTTTCTTAATCAAGGGTTTATTCATGATTTCAGATGAAATTTCCTCGCCAATCGAGGGCAGCCGAATGGTGGAAATCCTGAAGGACGGCGCTGGTCTCGGATTCTCCATCGAAGGTGGTTTCGATTCGCCCGCTGGAAACAAGCCGCTGATGATCAAGAAGATCTTCATGGGTTAGTTAACTATCTCCGCAGTCTAACTTTGAGCACGATTTACTCACTTTCCAATTTTCCTCCCCATTGCAGGTGGCGCAGCGGAGAAATCCGGTTTGCTCAAGGCCGGCGAAGAAATTGTTGCCATTAATGACCTTACAATCGAACGCATGACTCGGATACAAGTCTGGAACATGATGAAGAAGCTACCGAATGGTAACGTCCGGATCACGCTCAAGTAGTCCGGATGCCACGCGATGATGGGAGTGTGATTGAATGTATACAAATCGGGAACGAGAAAGCGAGAGCTAGAGCGAAAGAGAGAGAGAGCCGTACTTTTTCTACACGTTACATTTTACTATAAATGCATATGCTCTATAGGAAAACAATGCTAGTTCAATAAGGCAGAATGCAATTCGCGCCAAGCGATTCAATTCAGCAGCAATAATAATCAAATTATTATCTCTATTTTTTTCGTATAAAACCCAAGCTTTTTTTTAAACCCTCTAATCTTAAGAAAATTTGTTGATTGTATATTTTTATATGTATTCGCCTGTTTCGGAAACTTGTATACAAAAATAGTTATTTATATTTTTTGGAATGCGCCAATAGCCAACTGTAAACTGCATTGGACTAGAACGCAAATTGAAAAGCTAATTTAGACTGATCTGTGTAAAAAGAGAAGAGAAAAAAAAAACGAAAGGAGCAAAAATCTGGGTAACGTATCTGTGAAAAAAAAAATGTTAAATTCAAAACAAATCAAAACAAGCAATCGTGGTTGTTGTAGTTTTAGCGAGAAAAAGCAACGGAATCGTACTAACTCTAGAATCAAAATAAGAGTATTTCCTATGCCAGAGAAGATGATGATTGATTGCCGTGAATCGAAGTCAATTCCACGCAATGCTGTCTAACAAGAGAAACCTTTTCTTGCCCCCCTCTTTGCTAGCGAGGATGCTGATGCTGATGATGATGATGATGGCGAGAGAGTGGGAATTGATTCTATATAGCAGATTAACTATTACGTATTTTTATCGGGCTCTAGATTTTTGTTTTATTATATTAAGCGTGTATGCTGAAAGCCTAAATTAGTCACGCTGCGCTGCTTGTTTCTAATCCCCCTATTAGTTTTTTTTTTCGTTTTAATTTTCGCATTTTATTTTTATTCGTGTAGATATTTATCGATGATGATCAATAGAGGAAAAATCCGTTTAAATGAAATATACGAAAAAACTTTTTCAAATAATACTGCCGCTAGCGCTGCTGCTAATTGGATTTCACTTGTGGAAAGAACACATGTCCTTTATTGATTTCGCAAACGCAATTATCGCCGCGCACACACAGTGGATGATTATTTGGGGTCTGCTGTACGGTGAACTGGTGCAGCACGAAGGACGAAGTCGACTAATAGATTGTTTCGAATACGGTTGATCAAGCAAAATAAATTGTTGATCATAGTCAATCTAATTAGAGGCTAAATTCCACCTGAGTGGAACGGTATTAATTGATTGTACTGATATTTTCAGGATGCTTCTCTTCTATCAGTGGTTGAAGGGGCAATTAATTATCTATTGTTTTATTTTACTTAAATGTAGCAATAAACAACTACTGGTACCTTCTCCATCACGGCTGAACACTCCTAAAAAGAACGCTAGACCACGGACAACAATATTGTACGTTTAAGGTGATACTCTAAGGAAGCCTTAGCGTGAAACTTTAAAGGCACAAATGTCAGCTTCCACAAAACATACAAATTTGAAATTGCTACTCCTTGTTTGCTGCGCTACTACAAACAGAAAGTAGCAATTTCCAATTTGTATGTTTTGTGGAAGCTGGCATTTGTGCCTTTGAAGTTTCACGCTAAGGCTTTCTTAGAGTATCACCTTAAATAAAAATTATATGTACATCGCCGGTAAACGTCCACCTCCGGCTCGGGAAAATGCAATATCGTACACCTCTTTGTCGTGTGCAATCAGTTGAGTCTTGACATGGCCAGAAACGAGGTTTATTCGACCCAGAGGTTGACCCGTTTCCAGGCCCCAAATAGTGCAGGTCGTATCAATGGAAGAGGTTCCCACCAGGTTGGGATCGACTTCGTTCCAATCGAACGAAGTCAACGGAGCACAGAAATCACTGTTTTTGTTATATTTGAGAACGCACTCCAGCCGGGTGTCCGGTTCTCCGGCACGCCAGACACGCAGGTAATCTCCACTCGTTGCCAAAAGATCGGGGAACACTTCCTTGGAGTCCGGGATCCACATAATCTTTGTCGTCGGGTAGGGATTGTAGAGTTTCGGTTTATCGGAATTTTAATATATAAATACACGCGTCCGTTCCGGTTCGTGGATAGACAAAAACTATTTTATTTCTGTTTCAAGGTTTCTTAATACAAAGGTATGTTCAGCGGTAGTAGCAATGTATCTATTTGGTTCAGGTATAATACCTTCAAGATTAATATAAGTATAGGTAATTATGCTATGATCGACACTACAGGGATGATCGAATGTGCTGCGAGAAAAAAAAAGGTTATTAACTGTATAATCTTTTAAGTATGATGGATGTTTCAATTCCCTTTTTGGACGAGATTTAAATTCACTTCTTGTATTTGGTGAGTTGTTCCGCAGAAGATTACGATGGCTAACCATATCCATTCTTGATCGGTTTGATTCATCCTCGCCTAATGGTGCATCGTCGGTGTTTGGAGGTGTGGACTCCAATGGATCGTTTTGGTCTTCTGAGTTTAAGGTTTCCGAGTCAATTGTGGCATCGTTACCATCTGAAACGAGCTTTTTAAAATGTGATACATTACGGTGAATTATCCTCCCACTTTCCTTTGACTTCAAAATCATATCTGAGCCAGTACGAGAAACAACAATGTATTCTTCAGGATCAAATGTAGTTGACAGTTTGTTTTCTTTATGCACACGTTTTGTTACTACTATGTCACCTTTCTCCAGATCATTTGGCTTTGCCCTGCGTCGGTTGTCTGTATATTCTGCTCCTTTCACCTTCTGTACATGGTCACGATCTTGGATCTCCTCGAGAGTTTTTGAACCTTTCATTAGCAATCCTGGTAGCTTGTCTTTAAGTTTTCTCCCAAACATAAGGATGGATGGAGCAACGCCGGTTGTAGAATGTGGTGTGGAATTATGCATCAGAACAAATGTTCTGAGATCCCACTGCCAATCGGATCCTGACGTTTCTTGGCTGATCTGTAATCTCTTCCCAGTGGAACGGTTTATTCTTTCCACTTCCCCATTGGCTTGAGGCCAGTAGGGTGTTGTTTTCCTGTGTTCGATGCCAAACTGCTTGCAAAAATCTTGAAGCTCGATACTGATGAATTGGGGTCCATTATCAGATTTTATGGATTCCGGCATGCCAAAACGACAAAAAGTTTCGTGTAATGCCTTCACAGTGAGACTTGCCGTAATTTGCCGCATGATGATCACTTCCAAGAAACGACTGAAATAGTCTACAATGACAAGTAGATTATGCCCGGATGGTAGTGGACCAACAAAATCGATTGCTAGATCTGCCCATGCTTTGTCTGGCAGTTTCGTTCGAATCAGTGGTTCTGGCGGGTTTGGTAATGAAACCAGAGTACAATTTTTACACCTCTTAACGTATAGCTCCACTTCCATGTCCATGTAGGCCACCACACCTTTTGTCGAAGCCTCCTTTTCATAACAACTATACCCGGATGCGCTTCATGGGCAATGTCTAGAATTCGTGGTCCTAATTTTACCGAAATGACTAATCTGTCACCTCTCAACAGAAGGTTTTCAACTCGACAAAGTTCCGATGCAAACGGTTTGAAATCTCTGGCGACATCGTTCCATATCCCAGTTTCCAAACATTGCAGTACGTTTTGGAGAACATCATCTTTCAAAGATTCTTCTTCAACCTCCTGTACTGATACGGCATACGGAATTCCAGTAAGTGCTAATTGTAGAATGCAGGCTTCATCGGATGTGCTAAAAGCCACTGGTTTGGAAACCGACAATCTAGAGAGTGCATCAGCCAAATTGTTCGTTCCAGGTTCGTAAATCACCTCGAAATTGTATGTCTGCAAACGCAAAACCCAACGTTCAATTCGGGCACTGGGTTTAGATCTTTCTTTGAACAAGAAAAGTAGTGGTTTGCAGTCGGTTATCAATTTGAATCGTTTGCCCAGCAGATACAACTGAAATTTATCAGCCGCCCACACCAAAGAAAGTGCCTCCTTTTCTGTTTGAAAATATTTTTGTTCAATTACTGTTAAAGCTTTGCTTGCAAACGATATAATCCTTCTGTGTCCATCGGAACCTTGCTGCAACAAAACAGCTCCCAATCCAGTTGGACTAGCATCGGCTATAACTATGCACAGATCCCACTAGCGTGCACAGAAATCTTGTGAAGGAGGGGCAATTGTTTTTGCTATGGTGCATTTAATCTGAGGATGGAGAGTGCTCCAAAGTGCGTGGGAGACGGTGATGTCCACCCACCACTGATACCCTTCTGCTCAATTTAGCTAATTTTATTTATTTTTTACTCCGGTGGTAGTTCATCTTCTTCAATAGAAACTGCTAAGCCAATGGAATTGGCAATTTAATCCCATCGACAATGTCGATGATGATCAGTTCGTCAAATGGTTGCAATAGTAGGGCTTTAACCGAAATGATACATTTCCTGCAATGTTGTTGCCTTGGTGGTCGGATTCAGCTGAAGTCACTTTCGCATGCACACTGCGTAGACAAGTACAAGGTTCAAACAGTTCGCATAGCAGTGAAAAAACATTATATTGCTCTTGATCAATCCAATCTTGATCAGTGGTGTTGAGTACTTGGCACTGATGAAGTCTGCAAGTAGTAGACGAAATACGCGTATCTGTTAAAAGAAAATAAACCAACACACTCAAAGCTCTTCATAAAAGTATATTGCTGTTTTCGTCCTTGCACTTGGCTTGTACTGCAGAAGTGCTGCCAGCCATTGGGCTGGCACCATCAAAATATACTGCCAACACCTGCTCCCAAGAAATCTGCATCGGTGTCAAGACCTCAGCAATAGCATTGAAGATGGTCGTCGCGTCTGTTTTCAACACCCGTCTCACACCCACAAATGTTTCCGTCGGCCGATCATTATCAATATAACTGATGACAATCGCCAACTGCTCTTGGTGCCCACAATCGCTCGTCACATCTGCAATGATTACCACTGTTTTTCCTCACAAGGATTTCGCAATGTTCCGCAACATTACATTGTGCAACGATGTAATCATGTCATTTTGAATACGGTTACTTGTGTACTGGCAATTTTTGGCACCTTCCACCAAGTGTTTTTCCGGCACAGGATCATAGTTAGCTACCAACTGGGTGGCACACTTTCCGCTCCTTCCGAATGTTCACGAAGAAGTCGGCCACCTTTGTAAAGTATGCGCATAATATCGATGAAACGTTCCATTATATAGCAATTTTGTAGCCGCTTTGCCTTACTAGCAGCAATCATACCTCTTTTTTTGGTGGTCCAATTCTTCGTCGATACCTTTCCTGATTTTGAAATTTTTCCACGTGTCCATACTACCAACATGGGTATCACTGCGATTGTGTTTGCCCAGCATCTCGGTCGTTTTTTTTTCCAATTTCTGAACCCTGTAGGAATCGTTGTAACAATGTTTTG